GTGGCCGGTGAGTGTATATATATATATTATATATTTAACTTGGTAAAAACTAATTCATAAAATAAACAGATATATACTTTAGATATACTTCCTATTATAGTATATTTCACAAATAAAGATGTTTGAATATATAATATTTTATAATATCTTAATATCTCAACTAAAGACCAGGTAAAAAAAAGTAAAAGAAAATTTAAATATCAGCCATGGCAATACATTGGTCAACCACTAGTCTGGATGCATGCAAATACCCTTGTTGGCATGTGTCTAGTTCGGCTAGCTACACGTGACAGATATATTTGTGCCAAAATACCAAAAACCTATTTATTTGGTCAGTTGCGGTTTATCATTTGCATTAAGCGTTGTTTTTTCCCCCACAGTCCTGTCAGAACGCTCCTGTGACTCCTTTTTAGGTCATGACCCACCATTTGAGAAGCACTTTATTAGGCCACCTTGGTGGGGACATGTCATAGTGATGCGTTATGACCCATACATCTCTTGAAATCATGTGCTCTTAATGGGAACTGCTTTTGATAATACAGAGGCTTCTGCAGCAAGACCTAAAGTGGTGTTGTAGTTGAAGTTTGTCCAATTGTTGTCTGATCGTTTTGAAAGTGCACCCCCTGAAGCAGATAGACTTGGTGAGTGTTTCATATGATGTGGCGGATGAGCAGATGGTTTGGCACTGTCACTTTTATACATAATCATTTTCTCTGCTTGTCTCATAGGCCTGCCACGTTCTCAGCTGAGCCCGTGGCTGGCTGAAGCTAGTTGAAGTGGGAAATTGTTTTAGCCTCTGCCATTGTCTCCTCACTCCATTCAGTGTGACACAGAACGAGACCCAGAGGAAGCACAGTGTCTTGTTGAATTACCTCACCTCTCCCTCCCAGTGCATTAGTCATCAAGACATAGAGCCTACCTGCAAGATTCAGGGCCAGATTTACTAAACAGGGCACATTAGCGTGAGAGCGCATTTCCAAAACAGCGCCGATGGCAGTGGAAAGTTCTGCGTGTTATCTGCTGAAGATGCTCAAATTAAAGAACACAGTCAGATCATTTCCATAATAACCAACGCAATCTACCAGTTAGCGTCTGGTTTAAGACGTTCTTTTTTTGGGCGGGAAATAATGGCGCAAACACCGGTAAATTGACGAGCGCAAACTGTTAGTGAATCTGGCCCTTGGAGGTTTTAACATGCAAATAACCACAGAAAGATTTCCAAAAATGATTCTGCATCGTAAGCCGGGTTCACACTGTACTATTCTTAATGAATATTGCGATCAAATTTGACCTCTGACGAAATTCTGGCAGTGTTAGAAGTTTTGGGGCACAGTCCTGCAGTGTGACTTCTCCTACGACTAACTGTCAAATCAAAAACCAATGGGAGCGCAGAACCTGATGACGCAATTAGTGAGACAACAACAAACCACCACTTGCTCCACACACACGTCTTTTTTTCCCAGCGTTCTTTTAAAAAAAAAAAAAGATCATAATTAACGCTAGAGATTGTTTTTGTACACTACCTTCCATTTACATCCCGCATAAATGGGGCTTAAAGTCTTCGATTAATGATGTAAAACTCCTGGTGTGTGTCTGTTTTTAACACGTCTTGACTGCAGTCTGACAATAATGACGTGTGACATGACTTCTTTAATGACAGAGAAGTGACATTTTATTAAATTATTCCTCTGCATTACTCCTGAATTTTATTGAGAATTGTGTCCCTGTTGAATCCTAGTGCCTTTGGTTGACACAAACACATTTCTGCCTTTCTTTAATTTTCTGATCACAGTGCTACAAAGTCTCTCTCTATCCCTTACAAAGATGAGCGCATCTGCAAAGTCAATATGGAAGCAATTAGCAATGAATCCTTGCACATATAATAACAGGGCAAGTAAGTCTTTGCAAATAATCCACTTCTGTCCGTTTTTTTTAAGACCCTCTTGTTTCTGGCTCTGTGGGGCGGTTCCTCCCTTCCTCCTGAACCGAGCTTCTTTTTCTGTTGATGAACTTGCATTTTATAGGTTTTTTCCCATTCCTTTCTTTCATGTGGCCAAGACTCTGTTTCCCATCAAGGCCTGTGATCCGACCACAACAAAGGCATCACATGGCGATACAGGGGGAAACTTGGTGACAGAGTGAGAAACAGTTGGAGATTATATTAGTATAACTAAAACAAGTGTGAAAGCTCATCATCAGGAAACTGCAAGTGCAAATAGTCTAGTTTTTTCCAGAAATGGTGTTTCTTTGAATGCCGCTCGACAACCCACACTGGGTTTTGACTACCCATTCATCTCGATGATGAACCTTCTTATCTGGTTCTTCCCAGTCAACTCGCTGCTTCCCTACACTGCCGCAACTTAACGATGCCTGCCGACCACATCAAGTTAAGTTTCTGCTAATTGCTATCCTTCCCCGGGCCCTTCTTATTTCAGCCATCCTGTCTGGAAACCTTTTTTGCCGAGGTTAGCCACAGCAGCAAGATGTCTGCCGGCTTGTAACCCAACACCAATGCGATATGCAGTAGTAGATGGTTATTTCCCATCAAAGGGGTGACTCTTCGGGTGACTTTTGCCTTTTGAAGGTGAGCATCACGTAGTATAAATAGGAATAGTGAGTCCTGTGCTGTGTGGAGAGTGGGTATGAAGGACGTCCATCCCATTAGTAATGCATGGTTTGGCTGGCAGTAACTTGGTCCAAGATTACAAAGAGGAAATCATGATTGCTCTGGGAGATCTGACTCTCCAATGCGCCGTAAACTCTCTGAGCTCCACGCGACAGCAGAAGCCATCGATCGACCCCTAATGGAATGGTCCAGTCACGCATTATTTATTGGCATGCTTTATGAATCTTAATCTGCTGCTTAAGTCTGTCATTGCGAGTGTTTTTGGATGAATGTTGCCATAAACTTTAAACGCAACCTTTATTATTATCAGCACCATTTTGAAGAAGGATCATTCTTTCTATCTATCTATCTATCTATCTATCTATCTATCTATCTATCTATCTATCTATCTATCTATCTATCTATCTATCTATCTATCTATCTATCTATCTATCTATCTATCTATCTATCTATCTATCATCTGTCTGTCTAACGATCTATCCATCCATCCATCCATCCATCCATCCATCCATCCATCCATCCATCCATCCAACGATCTATCTGTCTGTCTGTCTGCCTGTCTATCTATCTGTTTGTCTGTCTGCCTGTCTGTCTGTATAACGATCTATCTGTCTATCTATCTATCTGTCTGTCTGTCTGTCTGTCTGTCTGCAAAACAAAAGGTCATGCATGTTTGTAACAACATGAGTAAGATGAATAAATAATGATTTTTAAAACATGGTCATCGTAATTCCAAAAACTCAACAGTATTCATGTCCCAGCAGGGGTTGTTTCTGTGTCTTACCACCTGCATGACTATAATTAAAATCTACATGACACCCAAAAAGCAAAGCCTGTGATTTCACATTTTAATGAGGCCTGATATTCTTTCTTCTAGATTCCAGCGAGCATGACTTCCACAGTGCTGCCTGGACACTATCCAAGTGTTCTGCGGCTTTTACGGCTGTATTTTTTGATTGGATACAACTGTTTCAGTTGTGCGAGCAACAGCGCAAATGTCCTACCACATATGTAGCTGCACCCTATGTCCGTTTGCTCAAATGTGCAAAAAAAAAATTCAGAGCCAGCCACCGGAAAGCATTTGCCCTTTTTTGAGGCAAGTCAGCCTCACACAAATCAAAATGATTATTAGTGAGCGCTCATTTTAGGCTGTCCTGCCTGAGGTATGTGAATTGCATTTGATTAATGGCGTTCAGGAAATTTGTTCAGGGAGGTTGTGTGGTTTTCTGATTGGGTGCATGATGCCCTACTCATCCCCTGAAGGAAGGGCTCGACCCACATCAATGGGACATCCATGCTTGAAAATTAAAGGCTAATTATCCCCGAATCTTCACTGTGCTCCAATATGCTGGAAATGTCTACAATACTTTACTCACTTATGAATATTCTTACATATGCGTATTAAATGAGTGGGAAAAAAATAGCCCTAGAATATCTAGGGACCAGAATTTGGGCTCTTTTGACTTGACCCAGTAAACAACCACCCAGACAATTATTGCCACATAGCAATGGAAATTGCTTTGTTACTTATTATTATTAATATTCATTCATGGGATGCTATCCTTGCACGTTTTCATTTTCTTGGCTTTTGTAGATCTTGGAGAGCGGATCAGAATGGAGATGTTATCAGATTATGAGGTAGCTCACATATGAAAGCCAGGGTTTAAATCCACGCTCTCGCTACATACCAGCTTCCTCATTCAAACCAGAACTCAGTCCAAATTAGATGCTTTGAAGTCTAGAGCTTAGAAATACCAACAGATACCCTTTGATGGAATAGTTACCCTCTTGTTTATTTTGACTGTGCAAAAGTCCTGCGTCTCTGTTGTTTTTGGTTGATGAAATAGGAGGGGGGGGGGGGGGGGGGGGGGGTTCCATATGGTTGCGTTCCAGAATTTTTTGTTCCTTTTAACAGTTTAGCCTTTGCTAGAGATTCACAGAGGGGTTAATAAGAGAGTTGTCATTTCACCTGACTGTCGCACACTTATGGAATTAGTTTGCAGACAGGTCATACCGCACAAATACAATCATAAACCTGAATCATAATTGATTCATTTCTTCCGTTATAATTATTCACATCACCCCTTCCCTGCAGTGATATGACTCATCCTGGGACAGCAGACTGACAGATGCAATAACAAATGACTATAACAATTTGAGTGTGACTCCCCATATTCCTCACAATTTCTGGCAAAATACTAAATGTTTTTGTTTCTAAAACGTCATAATAATTTAACATGGGATCTCCATCAAATAATGTATGAATATTTCTATCTGTACCAGCTACCCACAATCTGGATACAATGTGTTGTGTTTACATCTAATTTCTGTAGAACATTTGGATTAAAAGAATATTTCCTCTTGTGTCTCTTAGAATGTTATACAGCAAATGGAGAGGACTATAGAGGCCGACAGAACCAGACCAGCCTGCAAGGGGGGAGGCCGTGCCTTTTCTGGAACGAGACTTTCCAACATCCATACAACACCCTCAAATACCCCAATGGAGATGGAGGCCTTGGACCCCACAACTTCTGCAGGTCAGGCAAATAATGTATGGTTGAAAGGAAAGCAAAATAATTGGGATGGGTTTACTATGGTACAGTGCAATGTCCAAGAAAAGCAAAATAATTGGGATGGGTTTACTATGGTACAGTGCAATGTCCAAGAAACATTAAAAAAATCTGTTACTTTCTGGTACTTAATGCATTGAGAATGCTTGTATTGGGAATAGGATTCTGACTTATTAAGGGTGGACTGTTCCTTTAAATAGAAGAATGCATTTTTAAGAGAAAATAACCAAGAGGGACATTGTGTGATTTTGGCAATGTGGTGTAAGAATTTTATTGACACATTCTTCAGTGTCTTGTCTCCACACTCTAAAACATTCACACTTTATGTCCTCAAAATTTCAGATGTTTTATTCATTGAAAGTCTCTCACTGTCTATGACCATAAGCCATATTTATATCTGTAAGCATCTAAAAAATTATTTAGTCCTTAAACCACAGTACTAAATGATTCTAAATTTGTTTCATGTTTTTGGAAGGAAGCATTTGCGCTAATATTGTTGCTCACAAAGTCACACTGCCGTGTTTGACTGTGGTCCATGAGTGTAGGTTTATTTTATTTTTTTCATTCCATTATGTGGACTCAGCAGGGCTTGAAGAGTTTACATTTGCAAAGTCGCCTCAAATCCCTCTGTACAGAAAACAAACGCAGCAGAGCGACAGCGTGGATGACCGATAGCCTCTTTCTCCCTTCAACTTCACATTTGTTCTAGAATCTAGATGCACATGCTAACCCACCATGCAAGAAACAAAACGTTACTGTCACAGGCCTGTAATAAACAAATTGGTAATAGATTGCAATATGCTGAAGCATTTGGCTCAGGCACACGTGTAACACAATATTCCAACCATATAGTCTGTTTATAAAGTGTCAATTTGATAAAAATTCCCTTTTTTTCTGGCTGAATAGCCAAATTAGAGAGTTAGAGTTCTTGCAGTTTCCTCAGCTGTTATGTCATTCCTTGGATTGACGATAGTAACTGAAAACACAAGGAAGTACATGAGAGATGGCTGTTTTAAATACTTAGAGATAGTTCACCCATAAATGAAAATCATGACATTGTCTACTCTTCTTAATTATTTGAATCCTGTTCAATTTTTAAGCTAAACCCAATAACACAATAAGGCCAATTACAGTTGAATCTGGGAAAAACTTCTTAAATTTGTATTAAATATAGCTATTGTATGCCTTGGAATATGGCTTATAGGCAATTGTTATGGTACTTTGATTATTTGGAGTTAGACAAAACATTTAAACCAGCCTTATTTGCCGTTTGCTTGGCTGTTTTAAGCTAGTGTAAAAAAAAACAGCTACTGTATACAACAGACCAACATAACAAGTTTGGCCAGGCTGGAGAAATGTCACCACTCACCAGCCTGATGACAGATCATGACAGATTTTTTATTTTTATGAACATTCCCTTTAAAACAGCCTGCTTATTGCTAGTTCAACCATGAGGAGGGGTGCTGGGGTTACTCTGTATATGTGTGTGCGTGCAGGTCCAGCAGACTGTATGATATGGGAAGTGAAAGCCGGATTCTGAACGGCAGACAGAGATTAAGTGAAAAGGGAGAGATCACCGTCAGGAACACCAGTGTTGATTTTAGGCACACGGTTGCATGGTGTTATGTCTGCTGGCTGTATGTAGGAATGCCTTTGTGTCATAACAGACTTTAGGTTTTTGACTTCACAAGATCTTGCCGAACTGGCTACACCACGGGAGACTTTTAGAAGTAGCATCAGCATTAGAACTATCCATCCATCCATCCATCCATCCATCCATCCATCCATCCATCCATCCATCCATCCATCCATCCATCCATCCATCCATACATACATACATACATACATACTAGATTTTTTTTAAGCGTTAAAAAGAGTCAGGGAAAATCAGACAGGTGTATGTTTTAAAAGATATGACAACTGTTATTTGTATAGTGAATGATTTTATGGTTTCAATTACTTGTAAGAGAGGAATGCTTCTGGAAAGCTGCATGTGTGTGTGTGTTTCTTTAATGATGTCATAAACTTTTTGCATCTCTTTGTTAGCTTGTCTACACGTCATTTGACTTGAAAGAAAGAACTGCAGTCTTGGTATGTTGAGAGAGCCAGAGAGAGAGAAAGAGAGAAATGGAGGTGCCAAGTCCTAATATCCCTCACATTTCATCTTTATTGTGTGCTGTAAAATAGCTATGAAAACATTTAGAGATGGGGCAGAGAGGAAACGTCCCATTAATTGTGAATAAAAGGAGCAATGAATGTTGGAGATTTAGACGGAAAGGTCTACAACTCATAAGCTTCCTCTCAGACCTGTTCACCTGTTTCTACACCTTACAGAAAGAGCAATCATAAACGGCACTTAACTTTAATAGTACACAAATAGCATTGTGCCCGGGTTTTAAGGTAAATCCCATTTATAGAAAAAGAATGTGTATTTATACTATTTATTTTGCAGATGCTTATATTCTATCTAATTTATACATTTGTTAGCACCAAAACATACCATGCAGGGCTCCGGACTGCGACCAGAATGGTTGCAAATGCAATATAATATCAAAATGTGCTACAATATTTGAAATCTAGTCGGGAAAACTGTATCCATCCATATGCTGTTTCATCACATATCACAGAGAAATGAAAACAGTGTGAATAATGAGGGTCGATTCAATAACAAATGACTCTTATGAACTGATCGGTCAAATATATTTACAAAAATTGGTCGCTCGTGAATTGGCGTTTGGAATCAGACTCTCGCAGTGTTTCATTCAGAACCGTTACTGAGTTCACAACTGACTCCCTCAATGACCCATTCAAAATAATCATAGTAGACATATGTAATAAATACTAAACATCCCTTCATTGGGAAAGTGGGACAGTTGTGGGACAATTGTAATGCCCTGACTTTTTGGACATGTTCCATGTTGTTCTCTAAAGTACCATGTAAATACTGTGTTACATACATATAGTAAATATACATTGTATAAATCAAAGTATTCAATGTTGTCAATAATGATATTTTCTCTGTATTCAGTGTAAATCAATGGTATATCAATAGGCCAGTTTTTTTTTTTTGCTGCTTTGTATATTATTTCCCAGAGAAACTTTAATGTTTAATTTTCCATCCTCAATCTGTCAAGAGTTTAGCTTAAGCGAAAGTGCAAGCAATCGTTAAGCATTTGTGCCTTTTCCGTTTACACTGCTGTTTACCTGACTGTGAAATTGAATGGTTTGTTATCCACTTTCAGGTGTCAGTTCAGTGAGGCAGGCTTGAAGTGTTGTGGTTGAATCGACACATAATGCCCCAAGAGTGTCTATGTGTGATATAGATAATATGATACAATAGATTCTGACAACCAAACAGTCTCTCAAAAGTGTTGGACGTGCATCTCAAATTATTACTGTTTGTTGAACAAGTCCTAACTCTGTTCCCTTTTTAAAGCTGCATAAAATAACTATGATAGCTACATTAAAAAAGTACATGATTGTCTATTTGCCTGTTTTGTCATTTTTATTTGATTTAGAAGTGTCAGCACTTGTACAGGCGCATGCTTGAGTTTCACTCCTGCTGTAGCATATGTTTGCCATGTTGACCAAGCACAGCTCTGAGCATATTGGGCAAATTTCCCATGCTCATATTTGCTTTGGATACTGGTTAGCTGCAGAGGGCTAATAGTGTGGCTGAGGTTGGCGTTCAGGAAAAAGCTATTTTCAGCCATTCCCTACTATAGATCTTACACGCTTTTGTTGTTAAAGAATTCCAGGGATTTTTTATGAATAGCCCTATGCCAGAATTTTAAAAGTTTATCATAAATTTTATGATTATGGTGCTTGCTTGGAAAGCGGTTATTAAAGAAAATCTTTTGAACGCAAGCCAGACAAGAACAGCTGGTTTTCTCTCAGTTCATATGGCCAGTAATGCTGAACTTTGTCTCAGGTGTTTCTAGTAAGAGTATGGAACTGTAAAATTGAAGGGATGGTTCACCCAAAAATGAAAATTCAATCATAATTTGTACACTCTCACATCATTCCAACCTCAGTATGACTTTCTTTCTTCTGTAGAACATAAAAGAAGATATTTTGAGAAATGTCTCAGTGTTTTTTTTTTTGTTTTTTTTTTGGTCCATTGTATGGTAACCTCTTTGGTTACCAATTCTGTCAGGACCACTATCGTCAAATACGATTGACAATTAGCATACAGTTTGGATTGGCGGTATGGTTCCGTTCTGGGCGAGAACTCCCTGCGCATCCATGCAGCCTAGCATGAATAAGAGCAGAGAGAGCAGATATAACCCCCCTTAGGGTAAACACAACAGAACCAACATGAATGTATGCAGATATCATTAATTTAAGATTTTAAAATTCTACTAAATTCGAGAATTTATTCGGATCCATATTGATTGCAGACTTTGATTGCAGCTATCTTGGCAAATCGCAGCAAAGTTTGAGACATTGTTGAGATCTATTCTGAAACACTAGAGGAGAAACATGCTTTTCTGGGGAATTTTGCTCATGGAAAATATCTGAGAGATAGCAGGAGACTGTTTGCTCTCCATATCATTACTGTCCACAAGAAACAATTGATTAAATTAATTAAGAAAGAAAGAATCCAAAAGACCACTAATAAAATGCTTCTATTTTTTATACAAATATGTATGTCATACTCTCTGAGTGTTTGGCATGGTGATGGATATGACAATGTTGATATGTTTGGTCTTGTTGGAATAGATCTGCTACGCTGCTGATGTTATTGCTGCTGTAGCGCAAGTACAGGACTTGCTACTGCCAATAGTCAAGTCAAGTCACCTTCATTTATATAGTGCTTTTTACAATACAGATTGTTTCAAAGCAGCTTTACAGTGATAACAGGAAATAATGCAACAAAGTTTGTTTCTGCTGTACAGCAGATCTAGAAGAAAATAGGTTCATGGTCCATTTTAAGTAAGTTTAGTGATGGTTCAATACATACACATGACATGCTGTTTGAGCCAGTAAGACATGCTGCTGGTGTACAATATAGCGTACAGTACATGAATTACCCATAGCAGATCTATATCAGCTGTGGCCTAGAGAATGATGTGATTGCAAGAAAATTGAGTTGAGGAACTATCAGCCTGCACCCTCTAGAGTTTCATGACAGAACTTTGTATTTACTTTTCCAATTATATTGTCAGAAGAACAATTTTCAGGATGTGTTACAATTTTTCCCTCTTTTGTGCTGTTCTAAAGAGCATCAATGGAAGCATGAACATCTTACCATCTGTACAGAGACTTGATCGGTGTCACAAATTTGATTACAGACCTATAAATAGTGCAGAATTTCTGCCTCATACACCATAATATTTTATTGTTTTTTTTCTTGATTTTAGATTGCGAATCCCAGATTTTCACTGTAGTCTTACTGTGTAAACAGTATAAACATACAAAATTGTGTATTTACATTAGATTAGAAAATGAAGAGTGATCACAAAAAGAGAACTCATTGGTAATGGTTGTTTCCTTGGGGCAGTTCTAAAGTTTATAAATCTCTAAAGGCAGGGGTAATCCCCCATCCCATTAACCAGCCCGGACAGATGATGATCCCATCGTTACGGTAACACATGAAAGGCCCTGAGATTCTATACTCATTTTCTGAAGGGACTTGACCCTGCAGGCTTAACCGGACACACACACACACACACACTTAGCATCATAAAGTACACTTTTGCACACACACATGCGCACATACACGTCCACGCATTTCGAGTCCTGAGGGCAAACAGGCCTGCGTTTGGTGATCAAAGCCACCTATTATATCTGGTATGGCACTTCACCCCAGCATTCTCTGTGGCTGTGCTTTTCTCTCACCCTTGAGGGAAGGAGGGGAGTGATTAGAGGTTAAACAGATAGATGAATTTAAAGATTAGCTTATTGACATGACTCGTGCACATGCAATAGTTTTGTGTCAGTTAATTTGTCGGTTAGTCAGTTGTTTTGACACGAGTCATATGAATTACGTTTATGATACTTGCATGGTAATTTGGAGTCCTTTTTGAAACTTGAAAACTGCATGTAGTCCCCATTCAGCCAGTCTCATTTTGTATTCTGCGATCAGAATTTAAGTTAATTACTCATAATCTTCCCCTCCAGTGAGCTGCTAACAGTTGCCAACACTTCTTTGAGTTACTGAGTTGAACTCAAGAACCAGAACAGTCAAATTCATGAACAAATTATTGAAAAGATCAGTTTTAAAGAACATTTTTGGAGATTGTTTCTTGGCACGTTCATGAGTAGGAGTCCTGTTAGCGATGAACGATTACATTTTGAATTAAATTAAAGTTGTATCAGCCACTTTTATGAAACTTTTATGGTGCTTTTAGTCATTTTGTAGCTTGGCTGGCCCCAGTTCTCATTCACTTTCATTACAAAGAGTGTCCAAAGCTTTTCTTCAAAATGTCACCTTTTGAGTTCCACAGAAGATCAAATGTTATGTGGGTTTGGAACAATATGATGGTGACTAAATCATGACAGAATTTTCAGTTTTGGGTGCACTATTCCTTTAAGTGCTCCCCATGTGACCCCAGAGGTAGACTGGATCAGATAAAGCCATATAGAAACCTGGCACAGTGTATGAGTATGTTTATGTGTGTCTGCCAACGGGAAAGATTCCTCTTATAATCTAATCTCCTCCATTGAACCTCAATTGCCCTCAAGTCTTCAGCTCCAAACAGGTGTCTTTCCTAAAGAGGAGAATACATTATTAAAAAAAAAAAAAAAAAAAAACCTATGCAAAAATCCATTATACTTGACTGAGTCATAATGAAAATCCCATCAGGCTGGAGGGGTTTGTCGAACTTGATGGTCGAAATACACACACCGCTCCAAAGCCAGACTGGTTTGTTAGCAGGCCAGATCTCATTCTCCTCAACAGAAAAGGGAAAAAAAAGCAGGGAAAAATGGGAGATGTTTAACTGACTCCAACCTGAGGTTAAGTTTCCCCCGGACACAAAAAAGAAAGCACATGAAAAGACGGTTCACTCAATACACTTTCCTGTTGTAAAGAGAAAAGAAGAGAAGCTGGAAAGTGTTTTTGATGGGGGAAGAAAAGACCGTGGCACGCCCTTTTGATTCCACCGCACAATGGCTGAAATCAGATAGCTGTCGCCTCGGGGTCGAGCTCGAGATGTTGCATTGTAGCTCCTTAAAGACAAGAAGAATAGCTTTTCTCGCAATTATCGTTATTTCTGACGGCGCGGGCACCCGTAGCGCACGTGATGGGGCATTCGGCAAGACTGTTTTATGATGAATGTTCGGTTCAAGAAGAAATCAACCAATCACCGTCTCGTCTAGCTGTGCGGCTGTAATCAATACTCTGTTTTGAAGGCTTTTTGGGGTTTGGGCATCAAGGTTTAAAGTACACACCAGAGAGCTTAAAGGGGTTTTGAAGCAGACAAAGCCGGAGAACTCCGCAGGTCACTGTCTGGAAATGAACAAAGCCCTTCCCTGGGCCCTCGCGTAGACGCCGACCTGAAGGTGGACATGCTTGGATGGACAGGGCAGGGGGAGAGAAAGAGGCTCAATAAAGCACATAGGTTCCCGCTGTAGGGGGTGTTTCTGTCTGACTGACAACCCATGAAAAGGCTTTTCTCTTTAGTGACAGCTACGCTTGAACTAAATTACGTGCAGTAAATAACTAAAAGCAGTGATGCTACTTAATTAACATTTTTCAATATGGCGTGACAACTTCTCAGCTGTTTTCAAGTTACACTACCATTCAAAAATTTGGAGTCAGTAGCAACGAAAAATCTATTTCAAATAAATGCTGATCTTTTGAACGTTCTATTCATCAAATAACCTTTATGTTAAGCTAATAAGCTAATATTAAGCAGTTTTCAACATTGTTGAACTGAGCACAAATCAGATTCACCAAATCAAATCAGAGTGACACTAAAGACTGGAGTAATAGCTGCTGGAAATATTTAAATTGTAAGAATATTTCACAATATTACAGTTTTTTACTGTATTGTTCGTCAGATTAATGCAGCCTTGGTGAACATAAGAAATATATGACTTTTGAACGTTAGTGTAGCTCACTATTTTTATGTCGAATTATATTGCATATTTATATTATGTCCTAAACATGCTGAAAGTTCTCTCTTTCTCAGATTGGATAGTCTGAATCATTGTGGCTCATTCAGACTGTTTATTTTAATTATCAGGTTTATTAACAATTCACTGATTCATTTGAATCATCATTGAATTGTGTTCTTGAAACTTCCTGACTTTTTTGAAAGTTATATTAATCTGTCTGAAAACAAAAACAGGGTTCACAAACTGTCTAAATATGTTCACCATGGTCCATTTCTGTATAATTGCATCTTAGTAATATATTGACATTTGAACTGCTGTAAAGTTGTTGTTTTTTTACATTTGTATCATTAGATATTTAAGTTCAAACTCTGTACTTACGTTTAAAAGTGTAATTCGGCAAATTCTCTTAAAAAAAAATCACGTCGTCACTGGCACGCAATGAGTTCTGGGGTAGGCAAGGCCGCTAAGTTGTATCCATCTGTTGTATCCTTTATTTCACGGGAAACGAAGGACTCATTTGGAGGCCGCATTTGAAGGAGCAATCGAATTTGGACGGCCTTCGTCGCGCCGTTGTGACACAATCGGCCTTCAAATTCGCCCTTCGAAGGATGCAGCCTCTGAATTGGGACAATTCAGAATCAGTTTTCAAACAAATCACTTGAATAAATGATTCAGTGATTCACTCATAAAGACAAGTCATTGGTCGCCACCTAATGGTGTAACGATGATTCCTGTAGAAAGACTTACTGAAATTATAGCTTGTTTCTCTAGTAACTTCTACTGTATCTATAAATAGCCTAATTTTTCAAAAGAGGAACTTGATTGTTGTTGAAGTGAACTAATTTGGTTCAAGTAGTTTGCAGTTGTAAACTAGTCTCTTTCTCGCACAGGAACCCAGATGGAGATGTCCGGCCATGGTGTTACATCGCAGATCTTGAAGACGGAATCTACTGGAAATACTGTGATATTCCGACCTGCCAAAGTAAGTGTTTAAAGTGGGGAAAATAACATCGAATCAACAATGAGCACAAGTTAAAGCAGGAACCTGGCCAAAAAACTTGAAGTTCCCATCATCTGGATTATAAAACTGATATGCAAAACCGCATTTTTGGAAAGGACTCTAATTGCTCCATCAGAAATCACACTGTCCCAGCATGCACAGATACGTTTGCGGTGCTTGTCATCACTTGACGTTTTTGCATTTTCCATCCAGAGAGTGTATAAGAGCATCTGTGTGTTGAAAGTATGTGTTTACCTCAAAGCTATAGGGTGATTAGTTTAATTATTGATGTATCTGTATTCAGTATTATTTCATATAATCAGTGCAGACTTCTCTTTCTTTCTTTCTTGGTATTAGTGAATAAGTCTTTCTGTGCATGTCTCGAGGGCATGTATGTGTGTGCATGTGCATACGAATGCAAACCCATTTTTCTGTCAGTCAGATTTGTATAATCCCACTAAGTGTGTTTTCTACTGTACTGGCAGAGAAAGAGAATGTGGGTGTGTGTGTGTGTAATCTGATATCCCCAGCTCCTCAGTTTCTTCTCACTAATCACACCACATAAACAAGAGCTGGCACACAGTATCACAGGATGGGTAGAGCATGAATACAAAACTTAACAGCTGTGACATACACCAGGAAACAATCTCAGTAGAGCTCAGTCTGAAGTTCACTTAGATTACATATTCTACAGCCATATCAATCATGACAAGTTAATGTGTAAATTAAGGCGGTCAAATTAGCATGTTAATTTAGCTCAATTAATTAGAAAGCAATTCAAGCTTAATGTACCATGTTTTGGGAAATCTGCAGCTCCAAAGTTATATTCCATATTTAAGTTGATGCAAACTATAGGGGGAAAGTATATTCAGTTCAGTTCATATGTCTTATTGTTTTATGGTCCTATAGTTCAAGTCAAATTTTTTTTAAAGAAATTGTATTTTCTATGTATTAAATATCTTGAAAAAACATCACTGTTTCTGCAAAAATATTAATCAGCACAACTTTTTTTCAACATTGATAATTAAAAAAAAAATTCTTGATTACAAATTCAGCTTATTATAATGATTTCTGCTGAAGATTGCTACAGAAAATCAGCTTTGCCATTACAGGATGGAATTACATTGTAAAATATATTAAAATAGGCATGTAGGCATGAAATACATGTAGCCTTTGTGAGCATAAGAGACTTTCAAAAACATTTAAAAAGTCTTACAGACCCCAAACTTTTGAACAGTAGTGTATTACATATATATTTTATTTGCTGAAAGATCACCATTCTGGATAACGATATTATTGACTGTACTTCCGTTCTTTCCATCCAAAGCGAGAATCTTTAGTTAAAATCTAGTTAGGATTGTTGTTTATGGCAATCCATCAATTTGATCTTTTTTTCCCCAATCACATCCACTCCTGGTTCTGTGGTGGTTTGTTAAGGCCTGCTTCTCAGTATTTTATAGCCCATCTCTGGGTTGTGGTGCGTGACTTTTTTTGTAATTTTCCTCCATCTCCATATTCACTGCCCAGTACAACTGCACTCACTGACCCATTTCCCAAAAGTGCCATACACACATTAATCTGTCTGGATGCCCAGTATCTCTGTGCCCGAGTGGAGCTAACAAAGCCCACCCAACTAATGCCCCTCTGGGCTGAGGCTGTCTTGGACGGCAGGCAAATTTAGGACAGCTTTTGTCACAGTCAGTTGTCTTCTCTGTTAGGCTCACTGCTTTGAGTCTGGTTTACCGTAAATGTGTTTGTGTGTACCGGCTTGTAACCCATCTGGTTTTTTTTTCATGTCCCAGATTTCCTTCAGCTCTCAGGGCATCGCCCATATCAAGTACAGTCCTCCGCATGCTTCTGTTTCGGCTTGGATATCATTAGATAGGTCTTGGGTCTTGGGTGGTGCCCTAAAGCCACGATGCCCACAATGTTTGGCAATGAATGGAAAGGTGATTTGTTGGACTTTTTAGCTCCAGGCAGTTGTTATGCTGTAAAATCAGAAAGCAGTCGGTGCAATTGTAGCATCACAATTGACACGCGTACATGCACCTGAGGCTGTTTCCCTATTTGTTATGTGGGATGAAAGAACAGAATTTGCCCCAATCTCCATTAGGCACGCTGTCATGTGCAAAATGACACTTATCTTTGCAGCACGTAGAGAGAGGTAGATTTTCTCCTTTGTTTGTTCTGTTTTGGTGGCGTTTTTTTTGTTTGTTCTCTGAATAACAATAACCTGTTTTAGACATCTTATCATGTTAACATTCTGCAGACTTTTTGTCTTTTTACCAACCCGCACACACACATAATTAAGTATTAGTTTATAATATCTAGAAAAGGTATGTAGAAAAGCCTTTCTGTATGTAACGGACGGACTTGATGTTTATTTATATACTGTCAGACTCAGCACTGATTCGAATCACTCAATGTGCAGATAAACTTGGGACGGTTATCATGTTTACTTTCACTTTTATAGTATGTGAATATTCAGCATGTAGGTTTAGTGCCAAATAATTGGGATGGTTAACAGTCAAGTGTGAGTCATAAGAGAACCAGCTGCATTCCTCACAGAGGAATTTATTTTCTTAAAGCGAACAACATTATCTGTTAAAGGTGCATTTTTTTGTCTTTTTAATCAATGATCATGCTCAGTTTTCAGTCACAGGTGTGTGTGTGTGTGTGTGTGTGTGTGTGTGTGTGTGATGGTTGGCTCAGGGTGATGTTTGGATTTGCTCTTTAACCTCCTGCAATAACAGATGAGAAGATTGGTCTCAGTGTCATATTTACACTGACTTACACTGACTGGCTTGAGAATCAAATCTAATAGTAATTTAAGGAACTGAATCATTCTGGGTTTGATTCCTTTTTTAATTCCGATTACATGAATGATTTTTTTTTAGTACTTTTAAAGAAGAAATATTTTGAATAAAAAAATCATACAGTAGTATTTGTACAGTAGTTTTCTTTTCGATTTTGATATTTTTAGGTCAAACCGTTCTTGTCTGTCAGTCATATAATGCAGGTCTATGGTCACTTCCTCAAAGAGCATGCACAGAGAAGTCCAAATTAAACATGATTTAATGACTCGTAAATGTAAGTACACATTGATGGCCTAAGACACAAAACGAGCGGTTTGTGTGAGAAAACGAACAGTATTTATATTGTTTTTACCTCTTGTAAACACAGCCACGTCCAAGTGATCTGAGGGCGCGGGCGCTTCGGTCTGCGCATGCTCTTTGAGGAAGTGACCATAGACCTGCATTATATGACTGACAGACGGTTTGACCTAAAAATATCAAAATTGAAACTACTGCGGAAACAAAGACACCTACATCTTGGATGCCCTTGAGGTAAGATAAAACATACCAAAAATTAATTTCAAAGTGAACTATCCCCTTTAACCAAACAAAGTACAAACGCCAAATTGCTGTTCTTTTTCCCCACTCAGCAGATGTTAATGGTCCCTCTTGTGTTTTAGGAGAAGAAAAGCAGGTGCTATTTTTGTATTTTCTTCTGTCTCTCTAAATTCTTAGGTCCTCCCGTACCTCATGACCCAGGGCAGGTCCAGCGAGGGTTGAGATGAGATCTATACAGCTCTTTTCACTGTTCATTCCTGTTGTTTCACTTTTCCAGCCTCTGAAAACACTTTAATTATTCTGTTTCTATTGAGAACGCCTCCTTCAATCTTTAATTAAGCATGCAGTCACTCCCTGAAGGGCATGGCGGTGAAAAGCATTGATCTCTGCCTCAATTGTGTCGTAACACGGCCTCCGGCACGACTAATGCAATGTGCTCGCCGGCTTACAGATGCACGGCATGGGAAAGTATGCCGTGAAGTTGCGCAGCAGTCCTCCGCTAAAGGGTCGATGGTATTGTTTGTGTTCCTTGCATGTTGTACTCCAACCGAAGATTTATTCTCAAGATGTTTGGAACGACCCCGTTGACTTGTTCCTTTGATTCTCACTTTTTCTCTCTCCCAGTGTAAATCTCAGCTGCTAAATGTATGATAGATACAAGGGTCATGGGTAAAGTGCGGCATAACGCAAACAGAAACTCAGTCAGAAACGCCTGCCTCATAAACAAAGCTACACTGTCAAATTCCCCCGAGCAGAAAATGAAAGCATATTAATAGTCTGTTTTTTGTGGAATGATCCACAACATCAACAAATTAATTTCACTCCGAAGCAGATCCAGCTGTTGTAACTGTACAAAAAAAAAAAGTTAAACCAAAACACATGTATTCTGGGCTGGATAAGTGTGTCTGTAACAGGAGGGAGCCTGCCAAAACAGGAACACAACTTTAGTATCTGAATTAATGACAGACATGTAGATCTAAAAGCAGAAAAGAGGATGAGGACTCTTGAATGATTTACCAACAAATCACCAAACCCCAGTTGCTTAATATAGTCATTTTATAGGTGTTTTACACCAAACTGTGAAGTGCAGCACTAAAACTAGATAATTGCTAGAGGTTAAAAACCCTCCTCTACCCACACTGCACTGCGAGTCCCTGAATTGCTGTTCATACAGACAGAAACCGGAAATGTGAAGTGACAATTTCAAAATAGTAATTTTAAATAAATGTTTAATTTACAAGATATTTATTTGTCAATTCATTTTAAAGGTGCTCTATGTAACTTTTCTACTAAAATGAATCCTTTTTTATTGCCTGTGTGTGAAGGGGTTGTAATCACACATTAAAATGATCCACTTGTCGAGTTTTGCTATTACCTCTGAAGGCCAGTATTCCTATTTCTATGTGAAGTCTCCGGGTCGGATTTACCGCGAAATCCATCCCATGTGACGTGCATGCGCGCTCCCGAGCCTCTCTCCTTATATACAGTCTATTGTAGACGGTCAGGGAGTTACGTCCGGTTAAAGGCGCACGTTTTTCGGCTTAGATCTCAGTCAATCTTTGATCAATATTCCCAAGACTCTAATCGTTCGTAGTGCTGGACGGGGCCTTTCGAACGAGCCCACCCCCG